AGAAATTTCACATAAATAAGATCATGTAATATGTGGTCTGTTGCACATCAGCCCTGTGCCATGCCAGATGCTTTCATGACTTACCACGGGCTTTCCTCCCCCCTTCCATATTCATTTAACTGAAGAATCACTGGGCAGATTCCTGAACAGAAACTGCCAATGAAATTCTGAAGCCTGGGCTCCCCCCTGTCTGGAGCCCCCAGAGATTCTGCACTTCCTCAGCTTTAAGTGATCAGGTCTAGTGCAGCCATTGTTTCTGCTCCATCTTTTTCTGCAGCAGTGGTTTATGCCCTACTGCATTTTATTATTCCCTCCCTCTCTGTTATTCTCCTGTTTCTTTCATGAAGAATCTCATGCTTCTGCTTTTCTGGGGTTTTGGTGGTATTAGGGTTTGAATTCAGGGTCTTGTGCTTCTAGACAGGTGCTCTACCACTTGAATCATGTCCCCAGCTCTTGTTGCTTTAGTATTTTTCCAGTAGTGTCTCAATTTTATGCCTGGGCTAGCCTGGACCTTAATCCTATTTGTGCTTCCTGTGTAGCTAGGATAACAGGCATGCAGCACCATGCCCAGCTTTTATTGGTTGAGATAGTGTCTCAAAAACTTTTTGCTCTGACTGGCATCAAACCATGATCCTCCTGATCTCTACCTCCCAAGTAGCTAATATTACAGGCATGAGCCACCATGTCCTGCCTCTACTTAAATGGATTCCTTTCCTCTCTACAAGTAGGTCTAGTACTATTTGGTGGAAAATGTTTCTTAAACATTTTTATTATTAAATTTTCAAACATGGCTGGGTGCCAGTGGCTCATGCCTATAATCCTAGCTACTCAGGAGGCAGAGATCAGGAGGATCAAGGCTCGAACCCAGCCTGGGCAAATAGTTTGTGAGACCCTATCTCAAAAAAACCATGACAAAAAAAAGGGCTGGTGGAGTGGCTCAAGGTGTAGGCCGAGTTCAAACCCCAGTACCGCAAAAAAAAAAAAAAAATTCAAACGTAAGAAAATTTAAGATCACTTAGAACTACAGCCTTGGTTCAACAACTGCTACTACTTTCCCATATTTGCTTTACTCACCTATTTATCTGTATGTTGTTCAATTAACTTAAATGACTGTTATCTTTGTCAGGGGGATTGAGGTTCGAACCCTGCCCCAGCAAATAGTTCCTGAGATCCTATCTCCCCCCTACAAAAAAAAACAAACTAAAAAAAGGGCTGCCAGAGTGGCTCAAGCAGTAAGAGTGCCTAGCAAGTGTCAGGCTCTGAGTTCAAGCCCCACTATTGCCAAAAATAAGGCTACCCATTGCAATAGTTCTACATAAAGTTCCCTTCTCCACTTTTTTCCCTCACGCCATGGACTGTCTTCCATATCACACATTCTTGATGTAGAATGTTTCCTCATGGTGTCATTACTTCCTCCATCTTCTGTGGAACTGGAAGTTACATCTTCAACCTTCATGAGCTTCAGCATCAACATTCATAGCAGAAGTATTTTACTGTGATGTGGTGCACTTCCTGTTACATCACTTCAACAGACACATCTGGTTCAACCATTGGTGACATGATGCTTGATCAGTTATAAGAAAACACCAACATCTCTCCTTTATAAAGTAGCTTCCTCCTTTCTAAATAAGGTACAGAGTGGTGTTCTTCTATTATGAGAATATCTAGCTCTCCATCAACTTTTTGTCTAATGGTTTCTCCATCCACTGATGATCACTACCTAAATGAATAGCTGCAAAACAGTTATTTTCTAATTCTGTTATTCCTTCTATATTTGCTAATTTTATATTATTTTAGAAATAGTTATCCCTCAACTGGGGTTGTGTTGACCCTGAAACACAATTCATGCTGAAAAGGCAGGCAAATATGTAGATCTCCATCAACTGTCAATAATAAAAAAGTGTTATGACAGCCTCCTCCAATGTTGGGAAAGGATCTTTTTTCTTTTGGTTTTGTCTTTAATTCAGTTATCTATTATTATTTAACAAGTCACTGAAAAACTCAATCACAGCCTCTTCAACAAACGTTGCTGGGAAAAGTGGTTATCCATCTGCAAGAAACTGAAACTAGATCCATGTCTATCACTCTGTACTAGTATCAACTCAAAATGGATTAAGGATCTTAATATCAGACCCGAAACCCTGAAGTTAGTATAGGAAAGAGCAGGGAATACTCTGGAAGTAATAGGTAAAGGCAAGGACTTCATCAATAGAACCCCAGCAGCCCAGCAACTAAGAGAAAGGATGGACAAATGGGACTACATGAAATTAAAAAGCTTCTGCACAACAAAAGAAGTGGTCTCTAACTGAAGAGACCACCCACAGAGTGGGAGAAAATATTTGCTAGCTACACATCAGACAAAGTATAATTCTGATAACCAGAATATACAGGGAGCTCAAAATACTAAACTCCCCCAAAGTCAATGAAGTGGGCAACTGAACTAAACAGAACTTGTTCAAGGAAGAAATCCAAACAGCCAAAAAAACACATGAAAAAATGCTTACCATCTCTGGCCATAAAGGAAATGCAAATCAAAACCACACTAAGATTCCACCACACCTGTTAGAATAGCTATCATCAAAAACACCACCAACAACAAATGTTGGCGAGGATGCAGGAAAAAGGAACCCTCATAAACTGCTGGTGGGAATGTAAGCTAGTACAACCACTCTGGAAAACAATATGGTGGCTTCTTAAAAAACTAAACATAGATCTGCCATACGATCCAGCAATCCCACTCTTGTGGATATACCCAAAGGAATGTGACTCAGGTTACTCCATAGGTACCTGCATACCCGTGTTTATTGCAGCACTATTCACAATAGCCAAGTTATGGAAACAGCTAAGATGCCCACTAATGATGAATGGATTAAGAAAATGTGGTATTTATACACAATGGAATTTTACTCAGCTACAAAGAACAATGAAATTTTGTCATTCACAAGTAAATGGATGGAACTGGAGAACATCATCTTAAGCGAAGTTAGTCAGGCTCAGGCCAAAAATTGTTATGTTCACCTTCATATGTGGATTATAGACCTAAAACAAACGCAGTATTATTATTGGACATGGGTCATACACTAAGGGGAGAACGTGTACAGAAGGAATAGGGAAAGGAAAGGAAACATAAAACTTGAATGTGGCTGTGGCCACTGTAGGTGAGTAAATATAGTAATCTTAAACTGGCAGAGGCCACTATGGAAGCAGTAAAGAGGTCTGGTAGAGATGAACCAATGTGGGTTGTAATACACATGTGCATGGAAGCAACGCTAGGAATCTCTGTTAGCTATCTCTAACTACCAGAAATCTTTAACTAGCAAAAATGCTATGTCTTCCTTATTATCTCTTATGTATGCTCTTCAACAAAAGCGGAAAACAAGAGGGTAGAACAAAGAGTGGGGGGGTTGGGGTTGAGGAGGATGGGGGGGTGTGTGGGGGGACAGGGAGGAGACGTGGCCCAAACAATGTATACACATATGAATAAATATAAAAACAATTAAAAAAAAAAGCCAGTCATACTTAAAGAAGGTGGTGAGTAAACACACACATGGTACCCGCTTCCACAGAGATGATGCAGTCAAGGATATCGAAAGGAATGAAACTGGTCATGTATGTATACTTTCACTCTATTACACTCTTTAATTATAGAATGGTTTTTCTTACATAGTCAAAGTGCTAAAGTTATTAGTCATGACTTCTATTAGTTTCCTTGTCTTATTCCCATTAGTCTTTGAGTACTACCTTGTTTTCTGATACATGACTTACTATGAATAATTACTAATTAATTCTGGCAAGAATTAATTAATACAAAATTAGTGGGTTAAACTGGGATGACAAACAGGAAATTCATACAACCATTGTTACAACTACAAGATATTCAATGGTGGTAAGGTTCCTGAATCTCTAGTTCTAGTAGGTAGAACCACCTACTACTTAAATAGCTCTCCAAGTGACTCTAATGCCAGTTTCTAAACCAAAGTTTGAAGACAAACTGCCCAAAGTCACTAATGCCCACATCAGTCACAGAAGTAGTATTTATACTATGTAAACCAAAAAATGTCAAAAAATATTATTTTTTTGGAAAATGAAATTGGATCCTTTTTCATGTAGAAACACTAAAAATACTGATTAATATAAGATTTAAAGAAAACAAAGTACTAAAAGTAAAATTATATTTAGGGTAAAGGTATTTCTAATCCATGCAGACCGAAGACAAAAATCATAAAGAACTAGGTCAACAGAACTACAAAAAATACATTATTTGTGAACAAAAAAAAATACCACTAAAGGGCAAACTACAGATGGGGGAAATTATTTGCAAAATATATGACAAGTCAAATGTAAAACATATATAACCCAAGCATGGTGGCACTAGCCTGTAATTCCAGCACTCCAAAGGTTGAGGCAGGAAGATCATGAGTTCAAGGCCAGTTTGAGCTACAGTCAGATGCCGATGGCTCATGCCTGTAATCCTAGCTACTTGGGAGGCTGAGATCAGGATTGTAGTTCGAAGCCAGCCCCAGGCAGTTAGTTCAAGAGACTTTACTCTCAAAAATACCCAACACAAAAAGGCTGGTGGAGCTGACCAAGTGATAGAGCACCTACATAGCAAATGTGAGGCCCTGAGTTCAAACTCCAGAACTGACAAAAAAAAAAAAAAAAAAAGTGTACTCAGAAAGTCTAACATAACATACAGCAAAGTGTGTTCATACTACCTGTATTTTGTTTTGTAGTTTTAGTAGGAGTTAATGGAAATGGAGTTCAATAGAGAAGTCCTCATTACAAAACATCAGAGTTTGAATTTTCTAAGTAATCATTTCAGGTTTTTTAAATGCACCTGTTCAAAGTCAAAGTTCATCATTTTGTTTGGAACAACTGTTGTGAGACTAGTCATGGAAATGAGGAAGCAAACAGGCATAAAATGACACAAAAGCAAGTACCAAAATAACTACAGTCTTTCTTTGCCTATTTCATTATAATAAATAAAATGACAGATAACCAAAACATGTTTATTTTTTAGTCTTCAAAAAACAAACTCTTCTTTTTCCAGAGTAGTCATGATTAACTTAGAAAAATGGACATACAATACATCTTTCAAAGCATTTCCCTTTAACGGGAAACTTAGCTTTATAGAATTAAAAGGTTAAAAAAAAGTTCCATTTCCTTGCTATTAGAAGACAGAACAGAATCTAGTGTAGGTCAAGGAAATCCACTCATACTTCAGGTCCTTCTCCTCCAGGAACCAGCTGCATTGGAGGAAAAAGAATTTATTAATAATAACACATCTTCTAAAAACCCCTAAGTGTTCTTCACCAAGCAAAGCTGCCTTTGCCTCTCTCCTTAGCTCCCTCATTTCTACTTTTACCAGGTCGTCAATATGTTTTCAGACCCAACATCAGTTTATACTTATGCATCTCAACAATGATTTCAAACAAAATAAAAAATTTTTAAAGCCCAAGCAAACTAATCTTTTGACTCAATGCCTTAGGGAGCTGCTTTAGGGAGACAACCACCAGAGAATCCTTTCCCATCCTAAGCACTACTGGGCCATGGGCATTTAGTGAAGCAAAGATCAGTATAAAAATGTCTTACCATTGTTATATTATTTCCATTAAGCAAAATCTGATCTAATTTGGTAATCCTTCTTCCTTCTGGTGTGATTTCACTAAATTAACAGATAATAGTAGAGTCAGGATAAAAAAGCAACCAAACCCAACATTCTGGAAATCCTTTTCCTCCTAAAACAGCTGTTCTTGGGGCTAGGGATATAGCTTAGTGTTAAGAGTGCATGTCTTCCATGAGCAAGGACCTGAGTTCAGTTCCCAACACTGTCAAAAAAACATAAAAGTTATTCTTGGGGATAGTGATACAGCTTGTTGGTGGAGCACACACTTTGCACACAGGAGGCTCTGGGCTCAATCCCCGGCACCAAAACGGTTATTCTTGTAAATAAATGAATGTGAGGTCAAGAAATCATACTGATAATTTTCAGAGACAAAGGTTGTCCAGTAGGTAATATATATTCTTTTTTTTTTTTTTTTTTGGAGGTACTGGAGTTTGAACTCAGGACCCTCTGCTTGGCAGGTGCTCTACCACTTGTGCCACTCAGCCTACTAAAGCTACTTTGTAAAAAGAACCTGAAACTTGCCAAGGATATCAAATATGAATCATTTAGGAGCCTTATTCTTTTTCTTAATACATTACTACTGAATCCAATTCATTAAAACAATCTATAATCAATTCAATAGTGAGATCGTGAAAACAGATATACTGGTCATGATCTTTATAATTAATACAACCGAGCCAACATTATATTTCATGTTATACAATCAAATGTTATTACCGGTTCCTTGAGTTGACCTGAGCCCTAAAATTGTTGGCTGTTTTTAATATCTTTTACCTTAAAGCTTTGTCTAAACTAATTTCCTAGCAATTTAGTAATAATTACATTAAAGTGATAGCACTCTGATCCAACTTTACAAAATCAGTAAATAAACTTTGGTTTTTTTTTTTTTTTTTTTGCAGTACTGGAGTTTGAACTCAGGGCCTACACCTTGAGCCATTCCACCAGCTCCCCCCCCAACCCCCTGCTTTTTGTCATGGTTTCTTTCAAGATAGGGTCTCACTAACTATTTGCCCTGCTGGCTTTGTACCTCTATCCTCCTGATCTTTGCCTCCTGAGTAGCTAGGATTACAGGTGCCGCTGGCACCTGGCTGAAATTTGGTCTTTAAGATAATTCCAACAGGTAATACTTTCTTGTCAATCATTTTACTGATTCAATTGTACTAAAACTGCCTTTAAAAAGAGTGCAACTCTCCCCAATTATTTAATTTTTAATACTACTCACAACTCAGTGACATCTTCCAGTACCATATCTGAAATTTGGTGTTAAGAAAATAAATATACCAGGTTGAAATTACTCTGGCTTCTGCTTTTGTTCGATTTTTTTTTATTATGCTTAATGTAGTGGCTGAAGTACAAAAGGTTTGTTGTTAGTAGGAAGTTTATGTTCATTCACTTTCCATGGCTCTTGAAAACTTTCCTCAAAATAAAACGATTTTTAATAATGAGAAATACACTGTTTTTTCACATCCAGCACGACCTTGTCCTAGAAACCTAAGTGCGGGACAATGGGAGATGTCAGAAAAGACAGACAAAAGACCAAATGTGCATAAAGCTGGGGCCAGGTAGGCTTCTGTGCTTGATGGAGACACACCAGCACCCCACCCCACCCCACCTCCAGTGCGTTTCTTATATATAGTAGCAACAGGAGGAGGCAAGGCATTTTTGGTGGGGGGGGGGCATGACAACATGATCCTCTGGAACAGTTGGAACCTGTGACAGCTTCTCTCCAAATGTAAACATTAAAGGAAAAAACAGCTGTACTGTATCTTGTCCACTTCTGCAGCTGAGGCTGTGCCAATCAATCGTGCAATTTTACTGGGCATAACTATACTAGCTCCCTTCTGCGGTTTTAGGCTGTGCCAAACTTAAACACTCACTTATTCAATATACCTGTGGGCTCCCCACACTGTTTATAGTTATGTTAATACATTTTAAAAAACGTCTACCATCACTTTTTTAAAGGATACTGACAAAGTCATCAAATCCTAGAAGTGTACCAACAATTTCCTTATCACTCTTCATCACGATGTGAATTCTTGATCCTATACATTTATCCACCAACTCTGTAGAGGGGAAAAAGATCATTTTATCCATTCAATTATTTCAACAAATATTTGAATGCCCACTGGCACTCATTATATACATATGACCAAAGATAAACCTGCGAAAGCACTCATTCAACAACTTTAGGCCTTTTTGTACAAATCTACTCAATGATTACCTTAACAGAAACATTTTCCTTGACATCCAGTTACCTCTTGTTTGTAGCAATTTATATGATTGTAGTTTTGCACTGATGTTAGATTATTTGATTAATATAAGAACACACACACTCTACCACCGACTCACACTCCAGGAGGTCACAGGCCATGATTGTTTTTGCTCAACACTGTTAACCCAATGAACAGTGCCTAGCATATACTGGGCATTTTTAGGGCCTGCTGAATGAAGGAAATGAAAACTTGAGTCACAGCTACATCCACTAACTCAATCACTCTTCACAGCTACAAAACATTAGGAGAGGTACAATGATCTTCCCTGTCACTACCTCCACCACTCAACTAAATTTACCCTCTGAGATCTGATGGCCGTTTGAGCGCGTCTGTGGCCAGCTTAGCACTATTCGGCATGCTGTTTACTGGTGTGCTCTCTGAAAGCAATGGCTGTGGCTTAAATTCACTGTTAAACGGTGCCTAGGCACAGCGTGGGGACTGCTTGCCGAATGAATGAACGAACACCGCTCGTTTCCAGATTCCTCATTAAAGGCTCCCTGCAGGCCGTGGCGGTAAGCTCAACGGACACGCTACCCATGGTCCATCTAATCTGGGACCGAAGAGGCCAGGTGGAGGAAGCAGACGGCTGTCCACAACACCGCACAGCCAAGCTCACAACAAATAAGGCGCCCGATAAGGCCCTTTGGCCGCAAAGAGGTCTGCCTCCCCAAGCCACCTCTGGCGCCCAGAGACTGGGAGTAGAGAACGGAGCCGCCGAGGGACCGGGACTCGGCCACACTAGCTCCCCTCGTCCGTCTATGGCTACTCCGGCCGCAGGCCCTCGGTTCCTTACCCTGAGTAGGCTCCCGCCCCCGCCTCCCAAGGGGCGCCGATTACCTAGTGGCAGTAGCTGCGAAGGGTTGGTGGTAGCGTTAGCCGCCATGGCTACGCCGGAAGTGGCCTGGGTCCATGGACGCTGGAACGGAGACTTTAAAAGAGCGCGCTTCCGCTCTTCCCGCAGCCGCGCAAGCTCAGCCAATCACAGGCCGAGCTCGCGATGGGGCCGGCGCGCCTGCGCAGCACTTCGGCGTGTCGTGCGCTCGGCTTTCTTCCGTCCCGGCGGACGGATAGGCGGGCGGCCCTGGTAGCCTGCGAGTTTTCGAGAGCAGTGGTAAAGCTGTCCCGCCTGGTGGATGGAGACGTCCTCCCGCCCGGAAGACACGAAACACGGCAGCCTTTGAGTCGTCTTATGTCCCCTAGAAAGTCGCATCCCGTTTTGAGTCAGGATCTTTCTTCAGACAGTAAAATCAATTCATATTTCCCGCTTCCGCAGTTTTTTCAAAAACTACTCATTAAGGAACGCTGTAAGCATAGAGAATTGAAAACCCACAGCAACATTTTTAAAAACTTTTCTATACTGAGGATTTAAAAGGTTGTTTTTTTTTTCCATTTTTTACCACTTTATTTAATCTTGTTATATCTGGGAATCCGATTTATATTTATTCACTATTCCAATTATTGTTTAACAGGCAGCCACCAGATGTCACTCTATGTGTTGATGTCATCACACTTGGAAACTCATGCTTTTGCACTTGTGTTTAAAAGGATCGAAAGCAAACAAATTCTGTGCCTTAGTTCATTTTATATTTGTGTCCGAGAAACTTAAACAGTTCAAACAGGAGAGGTCACAAAGAACCTCATTCATTCCAACAACAAATGATTGGTTAGCACCCATCTTTCCTTCATTGAACAAATGTGCATTTGTTGTACACTATTTGATTAGAAGTTTTCTGAGTGTAAAGTAATGTACGGAGCAAAAAGCAATGGTAGGATCTTAAAAATTAATGGGGGAGATGGACAGGTAACATACTTTATGAAATTTAACATACAAAGCCAAAACAACTCCCTTTACCTTTATGGATCCTAGAGAACTTGATTTAATTTCTATCTAAATTTCAAGTCAGTCCAGTCCTGGTCTTTTTTCTTTTTTAATTCCATAATACTGAGCACCTACTGAGGTACCAGGATACACACTTCTATCTTTGCAACCATCCTGCAAGGCAAGTATCATGATTAAGTTCCTTGTGCTTACAGCAGTTAAATAAATTGTCTTCTGGCCTCATACACAGGTTGGGGAGCTTCATGAGGGGCTGTGTAGCTGTGGATAGGTAACAGCTGAATAGGTAGAAAATTAGCAAGAACACCACATGCTACTGGCGTGTATCTACCTCCAATCCTCTCTTGATGCACTTTCACTTAAATCTTACGTACATCATTTATGTTTAGCATAAACCCTTCCCTTCTCAAATGTTATTTCTTCAACAATCCCAGCCTTCAGTGATTTTCCTTTATTGCCTGTTATGATGCTCTTTCTCCAAGTCCTGGTGAAATCTTGCTCATTTCAAAACCCTGTTCAAATACGATGACCTCTGGTTCTTGTACGATTGGTGGAGTTTTCATTTTTATTGTATGACAGCAATATTATTTAATAGCTCTCAAAATATTTCAGTGCATTTTCTTATAATTTCTGGTTTAAAGTGGGGGCTACAGACAGCTAGCATTACTAGCTGGTTTCAAATTTATATAATTAGACACAAACCACGTTAAGACAGCAGTTTCTTTCATTTGGTGCACTGTCCCCACCACATTTCCAAGTGTATTACAGGGTCTAATGAATGTTCTTTGAATTGATTCCCATTTGATTCATAGCCATTGACCTCCTCCTTAATCTTCATAAGGTTCTAGCACTGCTGGGGTGGCTCAAGTAGTGGAGTACATGCCTCACAAGCATGAAGCCCTGAGTTCAAACTCCAGCAATGAAAAAAAATATTCATAGGGTTCTAAATACAAAGTACTGCCAGAGTTATGAAGCCATTTTCTTTTTCTAGTTTTTTCATTTCTATTCTATCTTTATTCTTGGACCCTATTTGGAAAATACCCAACACAGAAAAGGGTTTGTGGAGTGGCTCAAGTGGTAGAGCACCTGCTTAGTAAGCATGAGGCCCTGAATTCAAAAAGAAAAAAGAAAGAAAGAAAAAGTATTTGGTATATCAAACTGGTATTTCCAGTTTTGATAATCCTCCAATACTTCCAAAACAAAAGAGAAATTTCTTGTTTCTCCCAATAGATAATTGTCCTTGACAATAATATCCTCTTAGTGAATTTATTCTGCATTAATACAACTCATTTAGAAACTAAGGTAAAGGAGTTGTTATTCTAAACTGTTAAATGACCCACTCTGTATTTAGAGATGGAGGAAATCCTGGAAATTTCTCACAGTTTCTCTCCCTATTTCCCTATAACATAACTTTGTTGTTTATAGCTGCTAGGTCTCAACATCACTTAAGCCATCTTAAACTCTGCTTGATCTTAGAGTTGTTTGGCTCCAATAGAGATAGGTCGCAAGGGAAACTCTTGTTTCCTAGCACCTCTGCCAGAACACAAGACTTAGTTCCTTGATTGCCCCCAGCAGTGTCCTGTTCTTGCTATTCATCCATGACTGAAATGTCCTGTTTGCCAATACCTATAACAGAATACAAGACCCAGTTCCTTGACTACCCCTAGCAACAGTGGACAAGCCACAATGAAAAATTTTCCCCATCCTTTACCAGGTCCTGCCCCTGCTAACAAAATTGTCTATTAGCAGCAATGGGCTCTAGTTCTCTTGCTGGAGACCCCCTCTGCATGTTTCTAATGAATAAACTTGTGCTGACAGTGGGCCATCTCTATTTTCTCTCTGTGCTTTTCATTCTAGCCATAGCGTTATTCAAATGATACATTTTAAAAAATACTTAGGTATAATAGTTATGAATAGATGATATACCTTCTGTGAAAACTCTAGGATGCAAAGTGACATATTTGTAAAGCTGTAACTGGGTCTTCTGCACAATGAATGGAAAAATTGATGTTCACCGAAGAGTTCTAAGATGCCCTATCCTCACATTATGTTTTTGAAAGTTGTCCATTTAGACTTTTCATTTTAGCTATTCTAATTGTGGAGAATATTAAGAATAGGTTATATCAAGAAAATAGTAAATTAAATAGTTAACAAATCAAAAAGTTAACCTATTCTACATACAGGGAATAGTACAGCTTTACACATGTTTGAGCCACTGCCAGGAAATTTGTAATTTAGGAAAGTTTATGGATAGCAACATGTTGAAAATTGTCTACGGTATTTTTCGTAGCATTTAGTCAATTCTATTGGCTCATAGAAACTAAACTTGATCTGGGAAGTCTACTGTTTTTCTCAGGTATACTTAGATTTAAATGGAAGCCCTTACATTTCAAGACCATAAGTGGAAAATATCAAATGCTAAGGTTGCCTGCACTAAGACATGTGAAACCAGTAAACTTCAAGGCCAATTATTATAGTAATCTTAAATTCTACTTGAAGCAGTCACCTATCTTCTAGTTCCAAAACTGCCCTTGATAAGTCTTGTTAAATCTGTTAGTATTTCTAACTTAAAATTGATAGATTAAGAACTTTAAAAAAAATTAAAGTAGGGGCTGGGGGTGTGGCTCAAGTAGTAGAGCTTACCTAGCCAATTAGAGCCCTTGAGTTCAAAGTCTAGTACTGCCTCCCCTTACAAAAAAATTGTAGTACAAGAAGCAAATGAATTTTAAAAACCTAGGAACAACAAATCCACATATTTTGTGCCTGACCAGAATAGTAAATACATAAGGAGATGCAATGAAAATTATGTACTTTTTAAAATCTCAGGACTAGAATAATCATTTTACAGGTCTCCATGTAAAGTTCTTCATTCTCAAGGCTATTATGCCTTAGGCCTTAAATCGCTTCCAAAGTTCTATCCAAAAATTTACTTGGGGGGAGGGGTTGAGACAGAAAACAACAACAAAAGAAACCATACCAAACTTACAACGAAACTAGAAATCTCGACTAAGCAAGCAATTTCAAGGTTGACTACACAAGACATAGAATTTCACCAATATGCTTCCATGCTATTAATCATTTAAGTCAGGGCAGAGAGACTCCAGAGTGGACGTAATTAGAGAATAACAAATTTTAAAGAAAGTAAAGCTGAGGGAAGAGGAGGGGAGGGGCGGAGATTTCAAGGACGAAGAATGGATAATAAAGGAGAAGTGATTTGGCAATCTGGTGAAAAGGAGCATGTGTGACAGGTCGCCCCACCGGCTCCGCCCATCCCCATCTCATCGACCCCTCCCCTGGCCCCGCCCCGGGAGAGTTTCCCCGCCCACTTCGTAGGCCCCGCCCCACTCCATCACCCTCTCTTCCTTTAGTCCCGCCCCGGCCTCCGATGACCACGCCCCGTGAGGTTCCTTCCGGCCCCGCCCTTCCCCGCCCGCGGCGGCTGTCGGGTCAGGTGACAGCCCGGAAGCTGCGGAAGCGGATGAAGCTAGAGGAGCCGCGGCCCCCGAGGGGCGGCGCGGCGCTCGGTCTCCCCCGGGCCACCTACGCGGCCCTCATGCAGTGCTCTCTTTGACACCTGACGGCCGCCGCTCTCGGTCCTCCGAGGACCGCAGGGTCGTCAGCCCGCTGGCCTTCGCGGTTGAAGTCGTCGTGGTGCGGGCCCGCGGCGGCCGCCCATGGACAAGGCCGGGCGCGGCGGCGATGGCGCCCCCAGAGGGCCGGTCCTGCACATCGTGGTGGTCGGCTTTCATCACAAGAAGGGCTGCCAGGTAAGGACGAGGTCCCTCGCCCTCGCTGGGCACCCGCTACCCTGTGCCGTGTGGCTCTGCTCGCGTCGCTCCCTGTGCGCCCCACACCCCCACCTAGAATTGCATTGGGAGCAGCCGACGATCTGGTTCCTACGTGTAAGTTGATAGGGCTTTCGTTCTTTTGGTGGAGAGGGAGGAAGGGATGGAGATAGCCCCCTTCTCCCCATCCAGCAGGGTGTCCACCGACTTGCTGGGTGTCGCCTGTAATGGGAATAAAGCACTTGGACTCTGTTTTCAAGGTGCTGAGTGCAGTGAGCTTCCACATGACTGCCTCAGGTAGAGTGACGCACCTGCAGGCGCCGCGCAGGAAAACCAGCCTCCTTTGTTTACTTCTTGGAAGCCTTAGAATCTGTCTATTGCCTCTGCCCTACCTTCCCTTTGGGCCTTACGTGTGCGATTTGATCTTGTTCAGAACTTGTCTTTGGGTGAGCCTGACCTCTCCGGATCAGTTGCAATAAGAGGAAGTGTATTTACTGAGCACAGTGTGCAAGCAGACATTTTTTCACCTTCTTCACTAGCTCCTTAGTCCAACATCTGAAATGGGACATTTGCAATCTATTGAAAACAAAGGAACAAAGCAGAAACCATATTGTTGAAAGAGCGAATCAACCTTGGAAGGCAATGATGTCATAATGTGCGAGTGAACATTGAAATGCTTTCTTGAACGATTGAAAATACCGATTGCTACCACGAGGTAATGTAGCATTTGGTGTCTTGCCTTTCACAGAAAATGTAACATTTAGAAGGGTTAATTGGCAAAAGTTCAGTTCCTTTTAGAGAATGAGAACAGAAAAAGTGACCAGGGGAGTGAAAAGATGATTGTGTGTATGTTTTAAAGACTTTAAGATATTATCTCCCTCATCTCTTAGGTAAAAGTTATATAGAAAGACACCAAGGAGGAAGTGGTTTTATTTCAGTGTGTACTGGAAGATTTTCAGTACTTTAAAATTCTGTACTGTAAAGTGACCAGTTGTTTTCTTTTGGATGTGGGTGAAGTAATTGGAAATTGTAGGAGGTAAAATGATCTTACTGTGGTCACACTACAAAACATTCCTGGAGTCAAAACTAGTATTCCTTCCTGCTACATGTGTTCATTACACTGTGGGATTGCAGGAGTCCTCAGGGTGAAGAAGGAGGTGGAAGCCCTTCAGAACGATACTGAATGGAGCTTTGACAAAAGAAGAAAGTATGTATATTGGTAGATTAGATAAAATCTCTTAATTTTTGCTGTCATCTGAAAATCAAGATTGTTATGTTTTCTACATACTTAATTGGTGGAAATAATATAATTTATATTTCCAGAAAGGAAGCAACATGCAGTGCTACTTAGAGATTAGAGAAAATGGAACAACAGATTGTCAGAGGAGAGAGGCACTTGGGACAGAAATAGCATGCTGGGTACTATGGCCTTTCATCTGGCTTCTGGTTTCAGCACTGCGGAAAAGGTGACTGGTTTTGTTTATACTGTTCAGGGAGTCAGGAGACCCGGATGACAACATGACATCAAACTGGCTTGACTTAAACCTGGCAGGAATCCTTAGAGATAATCCACTCCAGAGGTGGTGACTTGTAGTTAACTAGTCAATATAACTATATTTCTTTTAAATAAATACAAAATAGTTTCATTTTAACCATTTATAAATGTGCAATTCAGTGATAATGAATAGATTCACAATGTTTGGTTTTTGTGTTTGGGGCTTTTTGTTTTTGTTTTGGCAGTACTGGGGTTTGAACTCTGGTCCTTGTGCTTGCTAGGCAGGCGCTCAACCTCTTGAGCCATACCCCTAGTGCATAGTCACAATGTTGTATAATCATCACCACTATCTACACCGAAAAGCTGTTTCATCATCTCCAATTCATCATCCCTATGTTAGGCAATGTACATACATACATCTTTTTAATAGAATTTTTAGGTTGTAGGCTCTTAGTAAGAATGTGTGCCTTGTTTTTGTTCTCATAATCCAAATGGTGCTTTACAGAGACAGTGGCAATTCGTTTTAATATACTTAGTGAACATGAATTACTGATAGAATTGGAAGAGTGCAAAGGGTTCTGTCACGTGAAGCGGAACTTGAAAATCCCAGTTGTGTTGTTTTTTTCCCTCCTCAGCTGCTCAAAGTGGCTTGATTTTTATTGCAGCTTTTTAAAATTACACCTACCTCTCTTGTAGCATAGTAGAAAGTGAAACACTTAACTTAGTTCAGGGCTTGGATATAACTCACTGGTATAGAGCTGGCCTAGCAAACACAAAGCCCCAGGTTTGATCCCCAGCACTGCAAAAAAACCAAACCAAAACAAAAAATCTGGTCTGGCCATTTAAACTTGAAAATGTGGTATAACTAGTCAAAGTCAAATTGCACAGTGAATAAAAAAAGAAAAGGCATAGTGAATAAAAAGGTGATTTTAAGATAGATCTTTTATGTATTCTATAGCTTTTGCAAGAGCCAGGTATTTATAATTTTAATTATTTCTCAGAGAATTGTTAGCTAGTTTTCTGTGTTCCTTTAATGGAAGTTGGTTGCATAGATGCTCCTGATTTCTGGAGTCTTAAGAGAGTTACACTTGGGTGAGTGGGTCATCTAAAAAGCCCTGGTTGGAATCCCTGTGAGGAACTAGCTAGATTGTCCACTCAGATGGTAGCAAGTGAGTAAATGAGTCTTTCACACTGAGTTGGTTGATAAAATTGACAGGTCAAATCAGTCAAAACAATGGAACTTCTGCTGAGGACATAATTTATAGTTTGTCTAGCTGGAACAGGATGTTCAGTTGTTGTATAACATTGGAAATGATGGAAAAATAATTTCTTCAACTATGTTTTTTTCATTTTTGCTTACCCTACTATTTTCCCTTTTTAATCTTAGCTTTTAAGAACAATGTTGATTTTTACCAGGTAGACAGGAGCGTTGTAAAAGCAATGTACTAAAGTTTCTAGTATAGGTTATATTAGTTCTTAAAGGATGTTCCTCACTTCTGCAAATTCATGTCCTGCAGTGCAACCCAAGTACATCTCATGTTTTAGAAAGTGTGTGTGTTATGGGCATAAGACTTAGAATAACTGCTATAGATATTGCTGTCTTTTTAACCAGTATGTCAGCTGTTATAAGAGGTTCTTTTTTTTTTTTTTCCCCAATGCTAAGGATAGAACCCAGGGTTTAGAACATGCAAGGCAAGCGCTGTCACTGAGCTACATCCCTTCAAAGGTATTTATTTATTTACTTTTGATGGGACTGGGACTTGAACTAAGGGCTTCACACTTGTAAAGCAGGCTCTCTACCACTTGAGCTACATTTCCAGCCCCCAGAGGTTATAATCCCAGGATGAATTAATTGGCTACTTCATTCTTCATTTACTTCCACATGTGAAGGTTAAAAGTGCGTGCATGGCTCATTGGAGTGTCACCCTGACTTTAGATGGTTTTAATTTGTGTGAACTTGTTCCATTTGTTCAGAACTGCTGTGGGTCATGTTGATCATCAGTTCTTTCTGTGCACTGGAGGTTATTCATAAGAAAAATTCCCATACTTGATAATTTGTAACTTTTAGATTCAGGTGAACTTTTAGATTCAAAGTAAAACCTTTCTTTAAAAGTAATGCCTATTGGACTGGCGGAGTAGCTCAAGTGGTAGAGCATCTGCTTAGCCAATCATGCAACCCTGAGTTTCAAACCCCAATACCACAAAAAAAAAAAAAAGAAAAAAAAATTGAAAGCAATGTCTTCCAGCAGTCTGCTTGGTTGATTATGATGATGGCTTGCTTTGTTGTTTCACCAAGACTGAATGACCACCCCCCTCACCCCCCCACCCCCCCCACCCCCGTGGGCTAAGCAGGCACTCTACCACTTGAACCACTCCACCAGTCTCAGTCTTGTTATTTTGGAGATGGGGGTCTTGTGAACTATTTGCCCAGGCTGGCCTTGAACCAGGATCCTCCCTATCTCAGCCTCCTAAGTAGCTAGGATTGCCCGCACCAGCCCTCAGCACCCACGGAAAGCCATCTTCTAATACAGCCTAATAGCCAGGCTTGTAGAATGTGTTTGTTTATCTCTTCTAGATTTTTTTTTTCTGTCTTTGAAATCTTCAGATGTATTTTTAAATGGAAAAAGTATTCATTTAAATTAAAATGCGCGGACAACCCATTCAGGACCCCTCCCTTCTGGAGGGGGTTTTCCTTCTTTCCCTTAATAAACTTTCCTATCTTTACCTTTATGTTCACAATAAAAAAAATTGCACATTTATTAATTTTATCACTTGATTTTTTGTTTGTTTCTTTTTTTTGGAGGGGGGCAGTACTGGGTTTTGAACTCAAGGCCTACACCTTGAAACACTCCACCAACCTTTTTTTATGAAGGGTTTTTTTTCGAGATAAGGTCTCGAACTATTGAACTCTATGCCCAGGCTAGCTTCAAACTGTGATCCTCCTGATTTCTGCCTCCTGCATAGCTAGGATTACAGGTACGAGCCAACAGCGCATCCAGCTTTTTTTACCATTTTTGGGGGATAACTTGTGTGAGTGAATTCTGTAGATAACATGCTGTGACTTTTCTACTTTATTGATATACTTAATATTTAGAACATTTAAAATGATCTCAAATATTACCCTGACATTTAATATAGTATTGAGATATTTATCCATTCCAACTCTTTTATGTTTTTTTTTTTTTAATTTGACAAAGGACTTTTCTTCCTTAAAAACTTACTGAAGTTAGACTCTGATATGAAGTAAGTTGTATACACCTTTCTGTACCAGATTTGCTTGTTATGGATTGTGGGTTCTAGTGTTTTATTTGTTTCAATATATAAACAATTTGTCAGATTAACATAAATTTTTGCTAAGTAATATCAAATATAAGTCAGATAAACTGTTTCTTTTAAAAGTAGGCAAATGCTCTACTACTTGAGCCACAGCTCTAGCCTGTTTTTGCTTTTTAGTTATTTTTCAAGTAGGGGCCTCAATCCACAATCCTCCTAATTATGGCCTCCTGTCTAGTTGGGATGACAAGCACATGTCTCACTAATGTTTTTTGCCTGGGCTGGCCTGGCCTGGCCTGGCCTGAAACCACAATTCTCCCAGTCTTCACTTCCTCCATTACAGGCATGAGTTACCAGGCCCAGCCCCAGTTACAACTTTTTTAAAAAACTCTCAAATCAATAGGGAGCAATTATTTTCCAAAGTGAGATCTTAAAAAGTTGGAATTATTACTTGTCTTTTGACTACTTTTCTGATAGCACTCATTGTTTTGTGTTCAGAGCTAGCAGTTTTAGTTCTTGTATAAACTGGTTTTACCAGACTGTACCTCTAAAGTAAAGTAGAATTATAAAAGAATTGGAACTAATGCTAACCATAGTTCTAGCAGTGCCTAAAGCAACCATAGCAGTGCAGTAAGTGACAGTTTCCTGTGGATCTGAGTAGATTGTCAAGTGAAAGTCTCCATGGGTAGCAGAATGTTGCAATGCAAATTTAGGCTTGGGTTAAGGAGATTAGGGGGTTGGCTTAAGTTAGGGTGATAAGGCTTTACTGAAGCCCTGACATTCAGATTTTGGTGACAGATGGCTACCAGAAGGCCTGTTGTTTGGCACCTGCTGTTGAGGGAGTCCTGTGGTGATAGTGATGAAATATTCAAGAGGTATTGTTCATGATTCTTGTTGGAGTAAGTAGGACTTTGGAACAGAAAGAACAAAACTTTGGAGTGTTAAAGGTTAAAGAAAAATAACATTTTAAAATTCTTTGTAGCCACTAATAATAGAGAAACTTTGTTCTGAAAAATTGTTGGTTTTTTTTTTTTCTTGTCTGTTTTCTGATGTTTTGGTGGTGCTGGAGATATACCCAGGTGTTTTTGTCAGCTAGGCAACACCACAGAGCCACTTTTACTGCCGCATACTTTTATTTCTTAAACTTAAACATTTTTGTGGCATATTTCCCTGATTTTGACCATGCTTTTTGTATATGCTGAAGTGATGAGAATCTCTATCCTTGTAGATCTTTCATGTTAGCATTTAGAACAGTGGAATAGTTTTCTCAGGCTTTGGTATCCTGGTGAAGCAGAATGGATGTCAACTTGTATAATGGAAACTTAAAAATATCAGGAAGATATCTTGATCCTCTTATAATTCCAGGTAGCTAGAAAATTACTAATTTTCTTTCTTGGTTTAAATCTTTGATGCCTAGTAAAATGCTTATACCCCATGAGTGACCTCTTTCATATTATTAATGTGATTCAAATCCTTTGAGTGTAGATTTTGCTATGTAAGAAGGGCCCTGGTCTACTAGGGATGGGCACTACAAGAGGAAGATGATGCTATTATACTTGGTTAAGATGCCATCAAACTGAAAACTCAGGTTCTCCCTAAAATATTTTTAGAGAATTTTATCTAAACTGATACTACTGACTTTTTTTTTTTTTTTTTTTTTTTTTGCTCCCTGACCTTTTGGGGTTTAAACTTGGGGCT